CCAAACCCTTCATCCCGCTCCATGGCCAGGGATGATCTTCCACTTAATTAATGTCTTCCTTCCATCTGCACACTTGTCACTTGATTTAACTCAGCAGATCAAACTGGAGTGCCAGTGGAGCAGCGCACGGAGGACAGGGATTTGATGCACAAAGAGGAAGCAACTCCCTAATCTGAGTGCACAAGGTTAGGATGCAATGATTCTCAAAAGGCAAACGTCCAGTCCAGTCAAATCCCAGCCCAACAAATGAACTGAAGGCCGCGGACCAGGATCATGGGCGTTCCACATTTAGAGTGCTCTGAACAAACATTGCGGAGAGTATTTAAAGAAATGACAGTGCTTAAATAAACAATTTAAAGCCATCATCAGATAAGATAGCATTGCATTGCAATGAACAATAGCACAATTTTAGTAATTTACAGAAACTGGGCTGTGACCTATTCCCTGATTTATGGCCTGAGTAGTCAGGTGGTCCAATGTGATGGGCAGGTGGAGCTTCCTTTTTGAAGTAAATACTCCATTAATCTAATTTTGTAAAGACTACTCCTCTTATACTGATTACATAAAACTAACATTTCAGGCACATTGTCACACATTTATAGCTTTGACTCAATTTGCAATACGCCACCCATTTCAAACTCTGATGGTAATGGGCATCATTAAAGCCAGGCTCAGCATTTCCTTCACCCGTTTAATTCACTTCTGCAGATGGATGTATCAAGAATTTCAATGCACCAACAAGACGAAAAGCAATTGTTACTGTTTCACCTGTAAGCGCACGTTAACTGCCCATAATTAGGTTGCAGCTTGTTACTGTAAAAGTGCATTTTTGATTATGTTAGCTAGCACAGTATGTATTAACTTCAGGTTAATAGCAATTTTTGTAACTAAAATAAAGATCCACTGTTCTCAGGGGTTGCATTTTTGGAAAATCTCTCAAATTCATGAAAGATGAGCATATTTTATTACAGGAGTCAATTGGATAGGTTACAGCTGTGCAAGGATTTAACATATAGAGCAAAGAGGAGAAGATAAAAGACCATAAAAATACTTTTTGAAAGTTGTGTTAATAAATAAGAAATATATAATATTTGTCTCACGTGCCCTTGCTATAAGGCTCTTGAGCGGAATGTGATGATTGTAACAACAACGAACAACCAGGTGCATGTACTCCACTCAACAACATGACAGACAACACATGAATATTCAACGTGTTCTAGCCAGTTAATACCGTACAGTAGATCAGGGACATCTACAGTATCTCAGTTTTTTTTATAGCAACTTAAGAGCTTTTACTTTTTTTGACATTTTCTTCAAGTTTCCTTTTGCTTCTGAAATCCATGAATGATCGAACTGCAATGGGTAAAATGTACATAATGTTTTGTGTCAATAGGCAAGTTTGCAGATGGCAAAGTTTTGAAGATTACTACATTTGATCAAAGTGCACTAGAGACCCTCTTTAAGAGGCTAGGAAATTGGCTAATAAACAAGCTGGTCAGCACTACCCACGGATGGTTCCAGAATTTATAGGAGAGGGTTTCTTGTTCAGACGAGGTGAGGACATTGTGTCATTTTATTCATGGAGAAGAACTTTAATTTTGAGGCTTTGGAGGACCAAGAGCAAATATGGGTCAGCAAGGATGGCATGATGTCTATGTGTGACATGAGATGTGATAAAGCAGCAGAGCTTCTAGGAGGCATTCTGGGGAGAGTTGAAGTAATTGATTCTTGAAAGTGACAAATGATTGATGGGATTGGGCACTCCGAGGGCTGAGACTGGGCAGGAGCAGGGAATTTTAATGAGTTAGAAATAGGTAGGCTTTGCATTGGTGAGATAAGGGTGTGCACATTTAGATCAGAGTGGATTAGAATTCTGTATTTGAAAACATACTAGTATCTGGAAAGGGGGCTTCAGTCAATGGCAAGGGCACAAATATTGTGGGAGGGACTGAATGCAATGGCTCTACCTGCTAACCAGCTCAAGTTAAAATGCACCCCAATCAAGATTAGGCGCTGAATCTTCATCTTCAATTCGTGAAATTTGAGTTGGGCCATTTCCTGATGTTAAGTTCCCAAAGTCAGACATCAGTCAGTTCCCAAAGTCAGACATAGGGTGGCATGGTAACTCAGTGGTTAGCACTGCAGCCGCATAGTGCCAGGGACCTGGGTTCAATTCCATCCTCAGGTGACTGTCTGTGTGCAGTTTGCACATTCTCCCCATGTCTGCATGGGTTTCCTCTGGGTGCTCTGGTTTCCTTCCACAATCCAAAGATGTGCAGGTTAGGTGGATTGGCCATGCTAAATTGCACATACTGTTCAGGGATGTGTGGGTTATAGGGGGATGGGTCTGGGTGGGATGCTCCAATGGCTGGTGTGGACTTGTTGGGCCGAAGGGCCTGTTTCCACACTGTAGGGATTCTATGAAATACAGTCTATTCAACCAGAATTTTGGTCTTTATGAGTTGGGTAAGCCTGGAGTTGGGCTACCGCCTCCTAAGGCAGGGCTGAGGTAGCAGTATCGATGAACAAATGCTAAGATTTGTAAGTATAAAACCCACCTCTATTTACTGGGTCATTGGCCTAGTTCTATTCATTCATTGAGCAGCTGTATAAACAAAACAAATTGAATAGATGACAAGTAATTTGCTTTGCCAGATGGCCCTATTATGAATGCTTGAATGAGCTCCAAGGCTCAATGGATTCAGGGCTGTTGGTAATTCTTACATCACTGCAAAGGGAACTGCTAGCTTTGTTTAGTTGTCAGTTTTCTAAGCTTGTATTAGGTTTATTTTTCTTTGAAGTAGTGTGCCAACATCTGTTTGTTTGGACTAAATTAAGAGATGTTAAGTAGCTTAAAGCTTTTATTAATTGGGAAATCAATGTCTGTGTCTGACAGTTTTATGAGCTTGTAAAAAGAGATAAACCTCAAATCAAATTTTAATGGTTGATTTTGTTTTAGGGAAGCATTTCAAGGATTTGTCAATATTAATATATGGTTTATTCATTCTCTACCTACTTGATAATGGAACCTTAAAGGCTTGGCAGAAGTCAAAACATTGAATCAATGTGAACTATACCATGCCATACATGTATCACTATTTGATATTGTACACTGTTGAATTCCGTATCATGAAGTATCCATGAAGTACTCTAATGCATGCAAACACCTGTATAGTGCCAGTCAATCTAGACACCTACCTTTTAAGGTTAAGGCCTCATGACTAATCACTGCATTATGAAAATGCTGAACTTTTCAAACACCAACAAATATAATAGTTGAAGTTGGCAATAGTTTTTAAACTTTTCTGCCAATAAGTTCCTTATTGCTGCCTTCCTCCAAGGTGCAGGAACTTACTTTCCGGAAATGGTTTACACAGCCTTCAGAAACCCATCCCTCTCTACAAAAAATATATTTGGGACAGGCAGTTAAATAGAGAGTCCACTTTATGTGTGTTGTTTTGCGACCCTTCATATTTCCAGACTTGCAGAAAATGTCAGGCAATGGGAGTTAAGTGCAAAGTTGTTAGCCCACATGTCTCACACTTGGTCCCCCGAACATGGGTTTTCTCAGTGTTGGGAGGGAAAAATTCAGCCCTCATGACTATTAGACAAATATAGAGCTGTCAAGATTGGTAGTGATGTGGTCAGACTGTGAATATGGAAGTTAATCCTACATCTGGAGACAGTGTTAATTAATGAGGAGGAGAAGGGAAAATAGAATATATCCTGGCTGAGTTCTGGAAATAATGATATGAGTGAGAAGGGAAGTTATGTTTGAGATTCACTGGTTGTATTTGAACAGGTAAGACTCAAACTAATTGAATTACATTGTGCTGGACAATGGAAAAGAGCTATTGAAGAAAGGATGGAATAGTCAACCATATCAAAGACTACAGAACGCTCAGGAAGGATAAAGAGCAATAATGCAATATGAATCATTCACAGCAGATCCCATTTGTGACTTCAGTTAGGATTGTTTAACTGCTGTGACAAGGATGGAATCTAGACTGGAAGATTCAATTAGAGAACTGCAGTAAGGATGAATGTGGATTTAAATGATATAAAATATGCTGAAGTACTTTGGAGTGGAGAACAATATTGAAGATAACAGACTAAATTTCTAAGATCGTTGATCTTGACACTTGATCCAAAAATCACTGGGTAAAAATTTCAATTAGTTGCATAATACAAACACAATTTGTCTTTGTCAGTGTAAGTCATTGTGCTACACAGGCCTCTCATCATAGATTAGATCCTCAAAGCTTATTGTGTATGTCTAATAAAGTAATGTCACCACTCCTGTGCTTTTCGGTTTATCTGGATTGAATGAATTATATATTAGTGTAGATTGTAACCCTCAAATTTTATTTCATTAAAGTAAAGAAATTGTTGAGTACTCCATTTAAAAAATGACCTCAAAAACATTAGTTGCACATAATGCTTACCTAATAAAATGGTGCAAATTCCTGAAACTACAATTAAAGTTACAGAAAACTGATACAGTGAATGCATCATAACACTTTGTAGTAGGCTTTTTTGGGCACTGCACTTAACTGCTGTATAACATAAGTGTTTTATGTGCATTAATGAAAAGACATAAAATGTAGGGTAAAGGGTACTGGAAATTCCTTTCGTTTTGACAGATGTCTATTATACTATGGTAGTAAGTGGGCTATATTTTCCTCTATCTGCTGAAAATGGGTGATTTGCGAAAAAAACCTAAGTGCTAATTGGCAGATTCCTCACAGAACATTGACCATCTTTGACTGTTGAATAATATAATATAAACTAACACCTGAAGAAGGACTGAGGCTCAGAAAGCTTGTTTTCAAATAAACCTGTTGGACTATACCTGGTGTTGTGTGATTTCTGATCTTGTCCACCCTAGTCCAACGTTGACAACTCCACATCATAATATAATTGTGGAGAGGCCCTAAGGAAAATGCTCCAGAAAAGAAATGTGTTCTAATAAACATTTTCAACTATTCTTTAATTCACAGGAGAGGCTCAAACGTATCGCTTACCTTGGATATGAGTACCTTGGGAAATGTTGAATCACTCAATATTGCTCCAACACCCCGTGACAAAATATTTCTGGAGTATCTACAGACTGCTAGCCGGGTGCTCACAAGGTTGCAACTAAGGGAATGTGTAGCAAGTGCCCAATCCCTTCAAGCTGAATTCATGGTATAGCACTCTATACAGTAAAGTTTGTACCTCAGTTTAATCATGCAAATTCTATGGGATATGCCAGGAACTAATATTTGTCTAAGATGCAATTTGAACTAGAAAGGATTTACAATACAATTTTTTGTTTACATCTTTTTTACTGGAAGCTAAGTATTCCAGTCAGTATCGTAATATTTTAGAGTTGTTACCTTTGTTTGGTAAATGCTGTAGAGCTACTCTTTACCTCAGTCTTATGTTTTGACGTCTTTACATGTGTGGAGGAAACATGGACATTGTACAAAAACACTAGGCACTGATGTATATAAATACATTTGTTTGTGACTTTTTATCAATATTAAGGAGAGTCTTATGTCTGTTCCTCAAGCATTGTTGATAGCCTGTCATAAGCCTTCCTTGATTACAAAACAGAAAGATTTAATAAAGCTCTTTATTGTTTCAAACCATCTTTATTAATTCCTGTGTACCATTATACTTGCATTATGATGAATCTCCAGCACATTCTCCACTTCTTAGTGGTTTGAATGTTTGATTGCATGGATCACAGAATCTTTTTCCTATATTTTTGGTTTTGTACCATCCGTGCAAATCAAATGTCCTGATACAACAGTGTTTTGGGACAAGATGTGAGAAATAAAGCAGGAAAGCTGCCCTGAAGCTAACTGTTAGTCATATAATTAATCACACTATGTAGCTAATGAAATAAACTGCACATTACCATCAGAAGTGTTCCATTTCTCAGTAAGATCTACATTGCTTTCAGCCTTTAGGAGCTTCAACCCAGAAAAATTTCACCAGGCACTCCCTGTCTGGAGGATCAGATTAGTATGTGGGATTGGAAAGGAAAGAAGGTTATGAGCACGGATTCCATATTTTGTTGCAACTAATGCTCAGGTTTAACCAAAACATATGCAGTGGAATTCTTTTACCTGACAACAGCTGTGTGTTTCTGCAATGTGGTATGCAGTGCTCTAAGTACATTGGAATTTCTAATGCTTGTGTTTCTTATTTCCTTCAAATAACAGGAAATTCCCATGAATTTTGTGAATCCCAAAGAGCTGAATATTCCTTGTCATGGAACTAAGAATAGATATAAAACTATTTTGCCAAGTAAGTTCACCTGTTACGCAATTCACCTTTCACTGTTAAATATTTGCTTTGAATGTTATTTAATGCAAAATGATTATTTTCTTTACTATTCAAGCCTCATCAGCAGCCGCCAGTACTGATTTCATACAATATGTAACACGTTCATACATTTATGTGCATTTTAAATGTAGTATTTAAAACTAGTCATGAGTAGGTTTAAAGTGCCAGTGAGGAGAATGTATTGATATGGCTTTCTGTGTCAGTTGTTAATAAGCTTCACAAATTAGATGTCTGGGAGCAAGCAGAACACTGGACCTTGACCAGGTAAGGAAAGCGTTATAGTATATTTTCAGTGTTTGTTTGCATACATTTATTTTCTTTTTTGGGAATGGTGGAAGGAATCCCTGGCTGATTAACAGCCCATTGAACCACATCATGCCTTCCATATACTGGCGAGTCCTGACATGGGAGTTGAACCTGGAGCTTTGGGCCCAGAGGAAGGGAGTGCCCCACTGCACCACAAGACCCCTATCAGCATTTCAGTTATACCACATAATAATGGTTTACACAGCCATACCTTTGTACAGAATCATCCATGCCCGTTAATATTCTTTTTAAAAGTATTAGAAGAGAGTGTGTAATGATAAAAATTACTCCTTTCCAAAACATGTCTGATAAATCTGATTTTAGAATCCACAGGCTTAAGTCATACCTCCCCAGGTACCCAGACAGGAACAGATGCAGAGTGAAACGCTAAAAGAGACAAACTCAACTTCTGTATAAAGTTTTGTGCTTCATATAACACTGTTTTTTCCACCGCATGAAACATGTTGGGATACATGCCACAAAGATCAGTTGCTGTATGCTGCGGCTAATTGTAACACTACTACCACTGTCCCATATAAGATCACCTAATTCAAAGTCAACAGGTCAAATCGGCTGCCTGAAATAAAAACAAACTGCTGGAGAACCTCAGTAAGTCTGGCAGCATCTATGGAGAGGGAAACAGCTTTAATGTTTTGGGTCCTATGTGTCTGTCCTTCTGAAATCACATTTGCTGTGATTTCACATAACACCTCCTGATATGCCAGGCTCAGATATTCATATGGTAAACCATTAGTAGACCACAAAGTTATACATTATTATCTCAATTACCTGATCACTTTATACCTACTGGAGAAGAAGCAAAAATTGACCTACACTTGAAAACTAAGGCAGCTGAGGTGTCAGTGGGGGAGCATTTTGGGACCAGTGACCATAATTCTATTAGCTTTAAAATAGTGGTGGAAAAGGATAGACTGGATCTAAAAGTTAGAGCTGTAAATTGGAGGTCGGCCGATTTTGACAGTGCTAAGCTAGAACTTTCAAAAGTTGATTGAGGGTGGATATTCACAGGTGAAGGGATGACTGGAAAATGAGAAGCCTTCAAAAATGAAATAGAGAGTCCAGAGACAATATGTTCCTGTTAGGGTGAAGGGCGAGGATGGTAGGTGTGGGGAATGCTGGAACATTAGAGAAATTGAGGTTTTGTTCAAGAAAAAGAAGGAAGCATATGTCAGGTATAGACAGCAGGGATCAAGTGAATTCCTAGAAGAGTGTAAAGGCAGCAGAAATATACTTAAGAGGGAAATCAGGAGGGCAAGAAGAGGACATGCGATAGCTTTGGCAAATAGGGTTAAGGAGAATCCTAAGGGATTCTACAAATACATTAAGGACAAAAGAGTAACCAGGGAGAGAATAGACCCCGTTAAAGATCAACAAGGCTACCAATGTATGGACCCTCAGGAGATGGGGAAGATACGAAACGGGTATTTTGCGGAGAAGGATTCGGAAGCAAGAGAACGTGGGGAAATAAAGAACAACATCTTGAAAAATTTCCATATTGCAGAGGAGGAGGGACTGGAGGTGTTGAAACACATAATGGTGGATAAATCCCCGGGACCTGATCAGGTGTACCCTAGAGCTCTGGGAAGCTAGGGAAGAGATTGCTGGACCCCTTGCTGAGATATTTGTATCATCAATAGCCACAGGTGAGGTGCTGGAAGACTGGAAGTTGGCTAATATGGTACCACTATTTAGGAAAGGTGGTAAGGAAAAGCCAGGGAAGTATAGACTGGTGAACCTGACATCAGTGGTGGGCATGTTGTTAGAGGGCATCCTGAGGGACAGGATTTACATGAATTTTGGAAAGGCAAAGACTAATTAGGGATAGCCAACATGTCTTTGTGCCTGGTGAATCATGTCTCACTAACTTGATTGAGTTTTTTGAAGAAGTAACAAAGAGGATTGATGAAGTCAGAGTGGTGGACTATATGGACTATATATGGACTTCAGCAAGGCATTCAACAACGTTCCTCATGGTAGACTGGTTAGCAAGGTTAGATCACATGGAATACAGGGTGAACTAACCATTTGGATACAGAACTGGCTCGAAGGTAGAAGACAGAGGGTGGTGACGGAGGGTTGTTTTTCAGAATGGAGGCCTGTGACCAGCGGTGTGACCCGGGGATCGGTGCTGGATCCACTGCTTTTCATCATTTATATAAATGATTTCAATGTGAACATAGGATGTATAGTTAGTAAGTTTGCAGATGACACCAAAATTGGAGGTATAGTGGACAGCGAAGAAGGTTACTTCAGAGTACAACGGGACTTTGATCAAATGGGGCCAATGGGCCAAGGAGTAGCAGATGGAGTTTAATTTAGATAAATATGAGGTGCTGCATTTTGGAAAGACAAATCAGGGCAGGACTTGTACACTTAATGGTACGGTACTGTGGAGTGTTGCTGAACAAAGAGACCTTGGAGTGCAGGGTCGTAGTTCCTTGAAAGTGGAGCCCTAGGTAGACAGGATAGTGAAGAAGGCATTTGTTATAGTTGCCTTTATTGCTCAGTGCATTGAGTATAGGAGTTGGGAGGTCATGTTGCAGCTGTACAGAACATTGGTTAGGCCACTTTTTTGGAATATTGTGTGCAATCAATTCTGGTCTCCGTACTATAGGAAGGATGTTATGAAATTGAAAGGGTTCAGAAAAGATTTATAAGGATGTTGCCAGGGTTGGAGTGTTTGAGCTAAAGGGAAAGGCTGAATAGGCTGGGGCTATTTTCCCTGGAGCATCAGAGGCTGAAGGGTGACCTTATAGAGGTTTGTAAAATCATGAGGGGCATGGATAGGTTGAATAGACAAGATCTCTTCCCCAGGGTGGGGGAGTCCAAAACTAGAGGAATAAGTTTAAGGTGAGAGGGGCAAGATTTAAAAGGGACCCACGGGGCAACTTTTTCATGCAGAGGGTGGTGTATGGAATCAGCTGCCAGAAGAAGTGGTGGCGACAGGTACAATTACAACATTTAAAAGGCATCTGGATAGGTATATTAGTGGGAAAGGTTTAGAGGGAAATGGGCCAAATGCTGGCAAACGGGACTAAATTAATTTAGGATATTGGGTCAGCATGGATGAGTGGGATTTTCAGAGAACATTATTAGTAATTTTTACAGACTTCAATTAACATAAAAATATGTGAAATTACCTGACAATTTAATATTACAATGCTGCACAATGTCAAAAAAAGTCTTTCTATATCCACTTTAGATGCATTTTTTGCTTTGGATAGGCTGAAACCTACAATGAGAAGAATCAAAAATGATCAGCGGGCCTCCTGACAACAGCCCTTGTGTACGTTGTATTGCAAACAATTTATAGCTCAGACACCAGCCATTCAGCTCAATGGATTCACATATATCTCCTCTCATCCTTCTTCATCTAACCTTAATAACATAGGGGTGGTACGATGGCTCAGTGTTTAGTACTGCTGCCTCACAGCGCCAGAGACCCAGGTTCAAATCCACCCTCAGGTGACTGTCTGTGTGGAGTTTGTACATTCTCCCTGTGTCTGCATGTAGGTGTTCCAGTTTCCTCTCACAGCCCAAAGATGTGCAGGCTAGGTGGATTGGTCATGCTAAATTGTGCATAGTGTTCAGGGATGTGTAGATTAAATGGGGTATAGGAGTCTGGATGGGATGTTCTGAGGGTCAGTGTGGACTTGTTGGACTGAAGGGCCTGTTTCCACACTGTAGGGATTCTATGATTTGTTTCTATAAGAGTTCTATTCATTTCTCCATCAAGTGTTTATCTAGTTTCCCCTTACATGCATCTTTGCTATTTGACTCACCCAACAGCACTTTCCTTGTTGGAATCTACACTCTAATCTGCTGGTAAAGACATTTATCCTGAATTGTCTTTTGGATATATTGGTGTCCATCTTATTTTGAAGGATGCTGGTTCTGGTCTTGTCCAGAAGTGGAAATATCTTCTCCATGGCTGTATTTTCCCGTTTCTCAGACAAAGTGTCCAGTCAGGTGTGTTAGGTTTTGACTAACATGTCACGACCATCAAGGGCAAAACTGAACCAGCAAGTTTCTCAGCCTATGTCATGCCTTGACAGTGTCATCCCAACTCGCCAGAAGCTGTCAGCCAATTAGAATCCCACAGCTTCCAGGTCCTAAAGACTTATCATGGGATCCAATTCTGAGAAGATAATGTTCATTTGATCTTCTTGTAAGGTGGTGGTTGTGGACTGTCAGAGGCTAGGGCAGGGGTTGGCTTTCAGACATCAGTTCCTTGCCTCTCATCTGTACTTTCAATTGACCCCAGACTAGGTAATTGGAGGTCTCCCCATAACACAACACGCTGGCCACCCTGGTTATCCAGTTGGGAAACCAGCCATCTTTCTTGGCCACTGTGAAGGCAGGTAATTGGGGAAGTGATAAGCTTAATCAAGATGGGGCCGACACCAGGTGACACCTTGCGAACTCCCTATTGCAGATCCTATCCTAATATTTCTTATAACCGTTCCACACTTTTTAAATCTAAATTCCAAGTCTGTAAAAATTACTAATAATGTTCTTTTCACCTCCTGTGCAGTGTAACCTGTATGCCTCACTCTGTCTAAGCATCCTACGATCTGTTTGCTAACTATGATCTGCCTGTATACATGCAAACAAAGCTATTCACTGAACTCAGA